TTGGTGGAGTTTTTTCGCGAAAATTGCATCGGATCAACTTCGTCAGATTTGAGAGATTCATCTGAGTTGAGCAGAAGATAGAATAGATTGGAATCAGGATGAGGAAACCATTGGGAATTCGTATTCATTGAGGGCTCACGCAGCAGGGACGTTATTAGCCCCCCCCCCCCCCAACCCCCCACCCCACCCCCCTCCTGAAGACAAGTCCGAAGCCTCAGAAATGCACGAAAACGCACGACAGTTAACGATCCGCTAGCTAGTACTAGTAGCATTATTATTATCACTGCGAGCTGGTAGTCAGTGTCTTGTCTGGGCACTGTACTCTGCCAGCTGGGCGTGAGCTTTACGCTTACTTCTGCTCGTTCCTGGTTTTTTCGGCGGGTTTTGGGGCCGGAATATTGTAGTTGTCACCCCTTGGACGATTGTCACCCTAGCCCCAACACCAATTGTTTGGGGATTCTGGCTACGCAACTCAAACTCCTCCTACTTACGCCCGGAAATTCTCCCCCGCGGAATATTGTAATTGTCACCAGGCTGATTAAAGTGACTCTAGCACGAGGGCTTTAGGTTTATTTAGGGTTTAAGGTTTGTCAGGGGTCTTACTGCAATGATTTAGTTTCCGCATGATGGTGATATGACGGTGGTTATGATGTTTGCTGCCTTGTAGTACTGCTACTGTTGCTCGACCAGTTCTGAGTACTTCTACTGTTGCTAGACCAGTTATGAGTGCATGAACTGATCTTGGTAGTCTTGTTTGCTTAGTCGTGTGCTTCCATGGTTTTATGGTCATTACTAATAACAACAGTGTGACGTTTGGAATTGTTCTTTCGAGATTATGGTGTGTCTTTTTAGAGTGCTTAAGCCTCAAACCGCAAAACCCGCAACGCAAACGTAGAGCACCTTGGTTCATTAGCTAAGTTAGGCCTCTGATGCAAGACTTCAAGAGTTGCGGGCTTCAGGGCTTTTGGACTTAACCTATTGTCGTGCTACATTGTCATGCTAGTATATATTATGTTAAACTGTTCTAGGTTATATAATGTTCAAGTATATTATATTTAGTCAAATTACATTAGATTACATTGACTTATACTATATCACATCGTGTTTTATAGTTTCATGTAGTGTAATACAATATTGTATTACTACATATTTATATAACATATTAAAATAAGTCATATTGAGTTAGCGTAAAGTATATTATGTTACTGTATATCAAATCATACCATCTCCTCCTATTCTGTTAAAGTATATCATGCTATATCATACTGTATTACATTCTATTATGTTGTCTATACTATTTTGTATTGTGTTATTATGCTGTAAGAAAATCTAACATGATACGTCGTACTTTATCAAGTCAGTTTACATCTTATCACGTTGCATTTTGTTACACCATATTCAGTATGTTACATTATATCATGTTATATTACATTGTATTCGGCCACCGAGGCTGCAGAATGTTAGAGGGATGCAGGAGTTTTGTCGAGCTACAGACTTAGCGCGCCAAGTGCACTTCGACACCAGAATCGACATGTGACAGTTTAGGGTTTAGTTTGTCAAATCATCATCGATGCAGAGTATATAGCTTGAAGAAGCTGAAACATGATTCACCATGCTGTAGAAGCTTGATGGCTCAATCCAGTGGCCAGGAATCCCCCAGCAAGAGACGATTTGACTTGTCGAATTCTGAGTCATTCCCCCCCCTATACCCGTCTCAACAATCCGTGGCAGGCGTGGTGCGCGCCATGCAGAGCATGTTCTGGGTTCTTGCCGCGCCCCTGGCGTTGAATCCGTGATAGCTTGGAAACCTCGGGTCTTGTGCCGCCCAGTTTAAGAAACCCAAACGCCTAAACCCTTAACCCTAAACCCCTAAACGGTAAACCCTAAACCCAAGGTTTTAACTTTCGTGGCGCTGTATGCCCTCGCGATTCTCACGACGCGGGCGATTGGCAGAGGAGGGTCCAAGCGGTGGGGTTGACTCTTGCGCAACTCGACTCGGGGAGGCGCAGGATCAAGTTTGCTCAGCTCCTTGAAGCGATTCTGCCAGTGTGGGATCTGCATTCTGGGGCGGGCTCTTCGGCTCTTCGGGTTCAAAGCTCCTTGCTGGATCTTTGGCTCCTGGACATCGTTTTTGAGGGGTCCTGAAGCTGTTCTAATCCGATCAGGTGGAGTCTTGAGTCATTCTGGGGTGCTGGCGTTGGAGTGCAGGGTTCAGCACAAAGATGTAGGACATGGCGCATATTTCTTTGAGGCCCCAGGAAAAAGCTGAACACCGGCGCTGGCGTGTTCTCTCTGGCAGCTCCGGTCTTCAACAGCGCAGCTCTTCTACATCTCCCATATCCTAGAGATCGCAATTTTCTATACATGTCTCTTATGGCCCTCTACCCTGAACCCTAAAAGCCTGTACTAACATAGCCCCAAACCCTACGCCCCAAGTCCAAACCCGAAACCCATTCACGCCTATGTTGCAGCTACAGGAGAGCTCCTCAACTCCATGCACGACATTCCGGAGGATCTCTCGCCTACCCTATAGTCCCCCATTGCAGTTCCTTTGTTTTGGTTTAACCAACTATATAACTAGGATCCTATAAGGTACCCCCAAAAAGGAACCACAATGGAGACTATAGGACGTTAAGCTGGCAACACCTACCCTTTTTGGTCGGGCCCCTATCAATTCTACATCGAGGTCTCACATAAGAACCTGCAAAAAGCTAGGTTATAGCAGTTCAAGGTTGGGTAGGATGTACGGATTTTGTTTTTTTGGATGCTTCGAAACCTGGCGGGCTGACAAAAAGCTATTGATCAAGGGCTTTGGGGTTGAAGGTTTAGGGGTTTGGGCTACAGGGTTTGGGGGTTTTGGGCTTTGTTTTTGTTTGGGTTCAGGCTTTTGGGGCTTCAGGTTTAAAGCTTACCCTCCCCGAACAGACGATGCACGGCACTAGTGACTAAACTTCTCTTGGTTCTTCCCAACGAGGTTGGCGACCCCACAAGGTGTAGGATCCATCAAATCCCAACAGCGGGTCCCGGAGTGTCGCCAGGAAAGGCAGTTCGACTGGCATCCCAAGAACCCCTAAAACCCAAAACCCTCAACCCTAAACCCTAAACCGTAAAACCCTAAACCCCCAACCCCAAAGCCTAAACCCTAAACCCTGGAACCCTAAAACCCTAAAGCCTAAACCCTAAAACCTCAACCCTGAACCCTAAAGCCTACAACCCTAAACCCTGAAACCATAAAACCCAAAACCCCAAAGCCCTAAAACCCTAAAACCCTAAAGCCTAAACCCTAAACCCTTCTCCAGCCAGGAGACCCGGCTTATGTTCAACACGATCGCCGACTCCATGTTCACCCTGCCTTCCTGTCGAGTTTTTGCCTCGCGCCCTGATTGCTCCTTTGCTAATGTAGGAGCTTAACTGATTACCAATACTATCTTGGTGTTCCTTATCATAATTATAGTATAGTGGGCCCAAAAAACCTTATTCTAATTATTAAGGCTCCTACAGTAGGCAAATGCGATGGGGTCAGCAACATGGAAGCAACACAAAGGCCCACAGGAGAATTGTATTGTTCAGGGACTGTGTAGCAAAGTTCAACATGGCATGCTTTTACACGGCATTGTAGCAAACCGTAACACGGCAGAACCATTAAGAAGCGATGCTTCACACGTTGAGGAGACATGGTATGGCAGCAGAGATTAGCCAACTGCCGTGCGTGGTACACACCGGATTCGCTGTGTCTGACACCGCGTCGACCTTGCGAGATGCTGCAATGCCCGGCCACGCAAGCATGAACTAGCATGATGCAGCGTGGTCTGAGCTAACTCGAAGAACTATATCATGCAGCAGCCAAGTTGAAAAAAGACTAAGATGGACTGTGATAGTACAGCATAACCTCGCATTTCACATGATCCACAGAAGACGTCCTATCCAGTGGTTCAAGGTTGAACCCTAAACCCTAAACCCCTAAACTCTAAACCCTAAACCTTTCAAGGATGTTTTTTGGGGACTGGGCCTTGTCGTGCCTTTTGCAATCTCAGCCTCGGTTAGATCTGGCTGTCAAGGGTGCATCGTCTTGGGGCGAGTCTTGTTACTTTGTAGACATGTTTCTGCGGAACTTCGGCAAACGTCGTTGCAACTTCCGTGCCAGCATTTGGCCCAAGTTTTGGCCCAAAACTTGTGTTTGACGCAGCCATCACACCTTGGCGGCTTGACCAGTTCGGGAACGTTTTGGTAAGGCCGTCTTTGGGGCGATGGTCGTTGTTCCTGTAGCTTGTGTTGTTGTTGTTGCTGCTGATGCCGTTGACCTCGTGCCGCTGCCGCTGCTCCTACAACAGCAGCAACAACAAGACACCACCATCACCACCAGCAGCACCAGCGGCACCAGCAGCACCAGCAGCACCAGCAGCAACAGCAGTGCCACCAGCACCACCAGCACAGCAGCACCAGCAGCACCAGCAGCACCAGCAGCAGCACCACGACTCAGCAGCACCAGCACCAGTTTCAGTTTTCCAGATGATACGCCCTACATGTCTGGTGTCTCAGGAGTTGTGCCCACCCTGCGCAGCTTGACTGACGAAGGAGATGTGATTGGAACCTGGCTTTGCGATTGTTTTGTGATTCCATATAGGGTATTATAGTACACTTATAGATCCCTTATTATAGATCCCTTATAGTAACCCTTATATAGAAACCTTTCAAAGGAACCCTATGCCCATTTGGGGAACCGACTTGGTCGTTCTTCGTTCTGGACCCGGCTCCAGGGGGCTGATCGGGTGGGAAGTGCGCCCATGTGCCTATGAGCTCTGAGTTGCACATTCTGTCCTGTACAAGCACATCCTGCCATTAAATTTAGACCCTAAACTCTCAACCCTAAACCCTAAAACCCTAAAACCCTAAACCCTAAACCCCTAAACCCCTAAACCCCTAAACCCTAAACCCCTAAACCCTAAACTCCTAAGCCCTAAACCCATCGCCAGCTCGAGGCCCGTGGCCGCACTGCCGCCATGCTCGCAACCGACTCCGCTGGGCAGCTGAAGCAGAAGAAGCGCATCAACAGGCAAGGTGGGCTTAGAGTTTGGGGTGTAGAGTTTGGGGTTTAGAGTTTGGGCTTTAGGGTTTGGGGTTTAGAGTTTGAGGTTTAGAGTTTGGTGTCTAGGGTGCCGGGTTTAGGGTTTGGGGTTTAAGGCGCTCGTAGTAGGTACATGAATAGGCGGGTGCCGGTATCTGCATGTATGACTACTGCCAGAACTATACAATGCGTGGATGCTGGTACCAGGTATGTCCAGGTACTCATGCTGGTAGGACCAAGGCCATGTGACGGACTTTGTACACAAAGCCCGAAACTTAAACCCAAAGCCCAAGACATTGTCAAAAAGCTGCCTGGTCTCCGGCTTCACGGAAGGAAGCTTACGCAAGCCGCGAATGCCAACGCCATTGCAGTCCTGAGTGTGGTGTCCGAGGCGGATCAGCTTCTTCAGGGAGCCTTCTATCAGTGAATCAGGAGGCTTTCCTCGGAGGTATCAGGTCAACGAGGCCGCAGACCATCGGATTTGGTTACGCAAGTGGTAGCATCGGTTAAGGTTGGAGCTTGAACATGCCTGATTGTTTCTAGGAGCTCAAGTACATGAATGGGGTGAACATGGCGACGGCGCTCCATCGCATTGCCCGGCACTGTGTGACGATGGCTGCATCGGCTGGTCCCAAAGTTAGCATACAGGATCATGTAATACACGCTTGTGTGCTCGGATGTATTCATGCGTACACACATAAATACGGGTATATGCTGTATGCACGCATGTCTTCATGCACTATGCATTGCATGTACGTCTGTATGTGTACATGCATGCAGGTGTGAGCTTCGAAAGGTACACAGCGTACATATATATATATATATATATATATACATACACACATACGCACACACACACAGACACACATGCGTAGCACATCCTGCATTCGGTACCCTTATCCCACCAGAGAGCTCGTTTGATGTTGCATGTTTCGGAGCCTTGCTGTGTGTGCGGGAGGTCCGACGTCCTGTTTAGATGTTTTCTCCCGCCCGTCGTCGGATCATCGGGTCCATCAAGGGATGAAATGCAGTGGAGCTTAACTTGGAACACCCTCAACTAGAGTTGTCCAACAGTCTTCTCCAATGTGACGGCTGCAAGACGTTCCTCATTGAGCTGATGGGTTCAATGCGTGGGGTTGTGGGCTTATGGACAAAACAAAGGTTTCAGGATGGACCGACCATTCCCTAAGTCCCGAGAATAAAGCCTATGTGTAGGCAGGACCCATGAGTCCAGACTGCTTAGCAGGCATCTTCAGTGCACCATGTTTAGAGCTGAAACAGTTCAGTGTGTGGGATTCGGCTGTGGGTTTTGGGACAAAGGGGGCCGCTGCCATGAGTTGCATGCTTTACACCCGGGTTGGATAGAGCATACAGCCAGAGGTCTGTAGAAATTGTTTGGGTGCGAGGCGGGGGCGTCTCGGGATCTAAATCTAGGCCCTCAATGCTTAATGCTTGCGAGGTATATCTATATAGGGTATCAACTCCTTCAAGCAGCATGTTTTTCGCGAATGTACCGTCCTTAGGGTTCTCTCCTCTGTTTGTAGTTCAACACCACGCAGAATTTTCATACCCTTAAACCCTCTAGGACCCTAGCACCTCTGTGAAACTCTTCACAGTACCCCTTTTGTAAGCCTCTCCTACCCTTAATATAGTCGGGTCCTTATTATAAGGATCCCAAAATAAGGTACCCCTAATTTTCGGAAACTCTAAACCCTAAACCCTTTATCGAACCCTTATAGATCCCTTTACGGAACCCTTTTTTTTAACCTTTTTGTTGCGGAAACTCCCATTTGGGACATTTTGGGACTTGGCCGTGAGGTAAAGGGCGAGTCGGGCCCCGATGCCGCAGCCAGCCCGGAAGCCTTGAAGGAGGCCCTTTAAGGGCTCATATAGGGTTCCTTTAAAGGGATCTATAAGGGATCCTTAAGGGTTCCTTTAACGGGATCTATAAGGGATCCTTAAGGGTTCCTTTAAAGGGATCTATAAGGGATCCTTAAGGGTTCCTTTAAAGGGACCTAAAAAGGGTTCCTTTAAAGGGACCTATAAAGGGTCCTTGGAGGAGGCCCCTGCTCTGTTTTAGGGTTTAGGGCTTAGGGAGTTACGAATATTCGGGGTACCTTATTTTGGGGTCCTGTATTTAGGGTACTATGTGAGGGTCCCGATCTGTTACCCTAGGGATCGAAGGACTCATACATTAAGACTTTTGGGCCCAAAGACCATACCATATAAGGCTTTTGGGCTATTTTGATCCCTAGGGTTAAGGGTTCAAATTCAGTTACCATAACCAGGAAGCCAAATTATTTACTGCCCTATTGCGGTAACTCAAACAAAACTCCTTAACAAGAACCAAAGGGGAACAGGAGGGACCCTTAATGGGGACCCCTACCCTATAATGGGCTAAATAGTGGGGATATAGCGGCTATATTAAGGGTAAATACCTAGGGGTCCGTATTGAGGGTCCCTCCTTTTACCCTTGGAAAGAACCCAGTCTTTTGATTCTCATTTTTTTGTTGCGCTTCTGTTGGGCTAAAGAGCCTGTTTGCTGTTTGGAGTCTGCGGGAGTTGAGGGATTTCGGCTTAGGGAGTTCAGGAAACCAGGGTTTGGGAGGTTATCGTTTGCGGTTTGGGGATTTTTTAAATTTGGGGACCCAGAACAGCCCCAACAACCTCCAGTTTTGGCTTGTACATATCGCTCTTGTTATTTTTGTTCGTTGTCGTTGTTCAGTTGTTCAGAGGCCCCTAAACCCTAAATCAAAAAACCCTTCAGGTCCAAGAGCACCCTGCCTATGCCGCACTGCTGCAAGCGGTGGAGCAACAGGCAGAGGCCGGGGCCTACTTCGACTTTCGGGCATGCGTTTAGTTAAGGGTGCAGGTTCAATGCTTTCGGGTTTGGAACCCTAGAGCCCTCTTCCAGCTATTCCGAGCGCGGCCCCAGTCATGAGGCTTGGGGATTCCGTGGTTACTGGAGTGCTTGGTCCATTTGAGCACTAGGGTTTAGGCACTGAAATCCTGCAAACTAGATCCTAAATGCTAGATTGCAAGACAGTTAGTCCCAAGGTCCTCGAGCAGCCCTTCCTCCATCTCCAAAGCACGACCTAATTAGGGTTTAGGGTTTAGGGTTTTTGAACCCGAAACACCATAAGCCCTATGTGGCCACATGCTATGCCCAATACCCCGAAGCAGGTCGCTCTCTTTGCGCAATCTTGCGGCCGCGCTGATGAGTCTGAGGACCTCCAAAGCGAGTTGTAATAGGACCTTATGAATTATGAATCATATTATGCTTGCCCGAATTTCTAGCAATTTTCCGAATATAACTCTGTACAGCACCACAAAATCCCAGTCTAGTTCTTGAGGCCCCAATACTAGGGAGGTCACAGGGGTTCAGAGAGAGTTATCCTTATATGGCCTTGAAGTTTGAGCCTCCAGACCCAATTGCTCAGATCGCTGTCTGCGTCCTCAAGCCAGTATGTAGACAATAATTTAAGGTGCGTGCATATGTATATGTGTATATGTAGATGCGTATCTATAAGCATATGTGTATGTGTATGTATATGAAATTGTATATTGACATGTACATGTATATGTACGCATATATATATATATAGACATATACATATGTCTATGTACACATGCATACACCTGCATATATATGTATATTCACACATACATACACACATATACACACATATACACACATATACGCACACATGCAAAAGTAGCTTATGTGGGTGGGAAAGCACGAGCCAGTCTCAGCACCGGTGCCTTCAGAGTGAATTCCACGGCCTTCAAAGACATTCACAGGGCGAATGAAAGCTGAGGCGATCCTTTGCCACATGCGAACGGATTTGTTCCAAAACTGTGAACGGGTGGATTGTGGAATAGAAGACGTGTCTGATTCGCTTCCTGCATGTGCGAAGTTCAGGAGGTGCTGCCAGCACAGTGTGCGGCTCGCCTGCGCGGTTGGAGCTTGCATGTGGCTATCGTAGTCAAGGGTTGTAGTGCCGCAGAACAGAACTCAAAGATCTTGTGGGTACTAGTCTGGGTAGAGGCTTCAGCATCCTGCACAGATGACCTATGGTTCTGAATCTCTTTTGAAGCGCTCGATGGTGGTGGTGCTGCTGCTGTTAGCCCGACTCCCGACACCCTCGGGACCCCGAACAGACCGAAAAGGTCCTAGAGGCTCAGAAGCCTCATGGTACACCACAAGCTCTACCAAGGCCAGCATCATTGCCTGGTGGGGGCCTTGGGGCCTCAGGGACGACCAGCAACCTGCTTGTGGGGGTCGTCGTTCGGTTTCGTGACTATGCTGTGGGCTGGGTGCTGTGAGTATACCTCCAAGCATGTTCCACGACGAAACCCTGTCAAGCTCGTGCCTTCTGTGTTACCGTTTCGAACTTGATGCTTCGTGTCGCATGGTGTGCGACACGAGGTCTTTGGCGTGCTTGGACATCTACAACGAACGGCTTCTGGGCACGATCGTGCTGCATCGCAGAAGCAGAGCCAGAACCCGTAGCCACAATGACGTCAGCCATAGGCTGAATGCAACCTAGCCTGTCCTTACATACGTGTATGTACAGAAAGGTTACCACATGCATCCCCACTCGGTGAGTTCTTGTACAAAAGCATTGTCATATATCATATAGCATATCCATATATGTATATATGCATAGAAACAGGAACCTCTCCCTCTCTCTCTCTCTCTGTGGTGCATTGCGTAGATGCATGCACACACACACACACACACACACACGTGCATGATCCATGATTGTGAAGTGTTTACATGTGCACGTATGTGTGGGTGCACGAAAGATGCTTGTGCTGCATGCATACAGGCATCAATGCGAGACCACGTACCCAACCAACTACCCAGCCAGCTACCTAGCTACCCACCTGGCTCGCTGCCTACACCTGCATCCCTTGGGCCCATAACCCCAGCCCCGAACGGCTTCTCCAAGCACGACATCAGAGAAGTTCGGGGCCTCCATTTCCCGAGGCTTCTGAGCGTGCTGGCGGCCTTGGCCGTTCCAGGGCTCGAAGCCTTCAAATTCTACGAGGCTCCGTCTTGCTCCATATGTAATATGTCTACATATATGTATAGATGATATATGATATATGATCTACGATACATGATATGTGTGTATATATATATATATCTATGATGTATGATCTACTTTATTCAAAGTCTACGAGGCACCGTCTGGCTCGGTCTCCTTGGGGCTTTCCGGGTGCGGGAAGATGCGTCTTTTTTTTTTTAATGTCGGGCTCGGGACAGCTAGTAGCAGTATTCCCTTGTAGTCCCTATTTCGAGCATTGTAATTACAGTGTTATCCCCTTATTTTAAGTATAGTGATCATAGTATGATCCCTTTGTAGTCCCCATTTTGGCTTTTGTGTAGGGAAGCCCGAAACCCTATTCCCATTACTGGTCGACGTGCGAATGGAGTCGGTCCGTTCTTCGCTTGGGTCAGAATCTGCAGGAAGAATTGCTTCTGAGTCCTAACTACTTACCTTTGGTAAGTAGGGAATGGAAGAATGGGGTACAATTATCACTACTATTACTACCATTCTTCCATTCCCTACTAACCAAAGGCAAGACTACGCACTACAACAACTCGTCTTACAGTGGGTGCTGAGGGGTTCAAAGTTGAAAGATGGCCATGGTAATGCTGAGTTTGCTAAGTTGGTGAGGATGACGATGACGGAAGCAGATGATTATGGTGACGCTGACGATGGTGCCATGATCATATTTCTCACGTTGCTCTTTCTTAGCATCCAGATGACTACAGGTGCGGAGCACAGGTGCCGAAACACTCTGAGCAGAAGTCGAACTTGCTACATCTTGAGCACTCCTGCAAAATGCAATAGAGTACGTGAGAGATTTCGGCATGCCCCAGAAAAGGAACCGTTTAAGAAGCCTTTTAAGGACCTTGATGGATCCCCTGCTGTGATTCATAAACCCCGACAGACAAGCTTGAAAAGGGAACACTCGACTCGAAGGAACCCCTACAGAGACCCTGGCAGTCCCTGAACCCTCAACCGTAGGTGACCAACATGCTCTGGGCTTATGCCAAGCTGAAAGCAGGAGGCTGGCACTCCGGCGTCTTTGGGTGCTTAGGGGTGTAGGGTTTGGATGTTCAGGGTTTAGGGGTTTAGGGGTCGAGCTTGCGACCAGGAGAAGCACCTGAACTCTCCATGGATGTCGGAATGCACCCGCAGCTCCAGTCCTGCTGAACCCACAACGAGAAGCAAAACCCTGAGCATTCATTCCGGGAACACCTATAGTAGCCCTTATAGTTGCCCTTTCTGGAACCCTTGCAGTCACCCTTGTAGGAGCCCTTAAAGTAACCTTTAGAGTTAGTACCCCTGAATGTAAAAAAAGTAGCCTATATAGTATCCCTTATAGTCGCCCTTTGGCATAGTTGGGTAACGTTTTTGCATCTGTATGAGTACGTACCCCCAATAAGAAATACATATCAAAAAAAATCATACTATCCCAACCATGAACTCGAAACCCTTATAGTAGCCCTTATAGCAACCCTTGTAGTAACCCTTATAGCTACCCTCACAGTAGCCCTTACAGAACTCCCATGGAAATCCTGGCACCAGGTCACGGATCCGTGCTTATCGAGGCGCTGGCTCAGCGCCTCCGTCGTCGCCGTTTGGGCGAGTACAAGGCCATGAAAGGTTTCGGGATCGGTTTCGGGGTTTAGGGTTTTAGGGGTTTAAGGGTTCAGGGTTTAGGGGTTCATGGGTTCAGGGGTTCAGGGTTTAGGGGTTTAGGGTTTAGGGGCTTAGGGTTTCGGGTGCTTCGAGGTTCGATGATAAAACAGGATTTCGTCCAGTCTCTCCTCACGCCAGAAATAATCTCGAGTTTCCCAATCCTGGAGGCAACAAGGGTCTTGGAACATGATACAATATGATTGTCTTAACCCTAAAAGCCCTGAAGCACCAACCACCAAAGCCAGAGTTCGGCAGCCGGGATCCTGAAACCTTGCCCTCTCGGCTGGGTTGGGTTTTCGATGAGGTCAACAGCGGAGGTAGGGGGTTTGGGGTCTATGCTTTACTGGTGGGAGGAGGGGAACGAGGAGAAGAGGTTTAGGCCGGAGTCTACCAGCAAAAGCGGACAGTGGCATGACGTCTGTTGGGCCAGGTTGAACGGTACTATAGGGGCCGTAATAGTTTCAAGAGGCTTTTGGGGCCCATTATACTACAATTACAATAAGGAACCCCCGTTTCAGTGCAAAGTCAAACTGCATCCATGGAGCCCCATCGTTCTCCTCAAGCTAAGCCCTGGCATAATATTAGTAGTAATAGTAATGCATCGGGTGGTAGTAGTGAGAGCAAGAACAAGAGCGGAAGGGGAAGAGGAAGAGGGGGAGTAGGAGTAGGAGTAAGAGGAAGAGTAAGAGTATTCATACTCACTAGTACTCGTACTTACTAGTACTAGTACTAGTACTAGTACTAGTACTAGTACTAGTACTAGTACTAGTACCAGTAGCTCTCCCGTTCTGGCAGCCCCACTGCCTCACTCTCGCGCTCTGGTCCTTCGCGGAGCTGGGTGTCAACGACATGGTCCTGGCGGACAGCATCGCATTGGAGCTGCGGCGGGAGGCCCGAGTTTATTCCATAATGTTAGTTCTCCCAATAATACCAGTAATACTAATCAATATTTGATATTAATACTGCCACTGCCAATATTACTAATCATACTAATAATACCACTCATTCCAACAATACTGATAACAGCTTGTGGCCGTTTTGCATTTCCGTTCCTCCTTAGGTGCTGTTTGGCGAACCTTCTTGTCGTTTCCTCATCCTCTGTTCCGCGCCCTACACACAATCAACCCTGAACCCTAACAGCATGTTTTTTAGAAATTGCGCACTCCTTCTTTCCAGATGTTACGGGTTTGCCCTTGAAACATAACGGTCCAGCTGTCCGTGTGTGTAGACGGGTTGGGGTGGGGGTTTTAGGTTGAAGGGGTTGTAGGCTGGATCTAGGCACGTGCATTACAAATAATAAGGAATATACCATAACTCCCGTAGTCTATTGGCATGCAGGATTTATATCATCAACCGTAGGGTCAGTGTTTCGGGCGTTGCATCTTGAGGTCCAGGGTCTCCTCTAGCTCACATCAGGGGATCGACAAGATATCGGACCCCGAGCTTGCAGTGCCTGGGCTGAACCCAAACTTCAACTGTGAAGATGGCCTCGGGAGGGCATCATGCTAGCATGTTATAGTGTTCTCTAGTATATATGATAGTATATGGCCGGATATTTTCGTACATCATATTCCAGTACATCTCAGTAACCTTGGAATGGGGCACATTTCAATCCTGAAAGGCCAAACGGCTTCAAACCAAACGTCGTATCTAAACCTTCAGGTCTGGACCACGACAACCCTCAAGCCCGGAGGTGTTAAGATCCCTAAAACCTAAGCCCTAAACCCCAAACCCCTAAACCCTAAACCCTAAACCCCTAAACCCTAAACCCGTAACCCCATAAACCCTAAACCGATTTGCAGGCAGACTGTCTCCAGCCCCAGGAGGTCTGCAACATCAGCTCCCTGGCATGAGAAGGTGCTCCAAAAAAGCTTAGGGTTTAGACTTGTTATTCATATTTTTTTGTGTTTTGTAATTTGTTTTTGGTTTTCCTGTTTGTATTTTGTTAGATCTTTCTGTTTGATTTTTTGCACATTTCGCGTCCTTAGTTCTCAACCCCCCGACCTGCACCTGGACACCTCGCACCCAGAACCCGCCCGGGTTTCAGAATTCTGGACGCACGCGTAGAAGATCACATCCCGGCATCCTCAGCTCCCACCTCCACCTCAGAACACAAACAGCTCCCGAACCCGGAGCCCCAAAACCCTAAGCCCTTCTAGGAACCCTTCAAAGGAGGCACCCCTTAATTACAGGAGCCCCAGAACGGAAGCCTGTTATAAGGGTAGTTGTCAAAAGTAGGGTCCCTTTTTGGGTCCCTAAATACGGCACCTAATACTTAGGATACCCAAAAAGGGACCCTAATTTTGACAACCCCATATGAAGCCAGCCAAGGCTGGGCGTTGGCTCATGGCTTCCGCAGCCCGAGGTTGCTCGATACGCTCCGAGAGGCGTTGGCAGGCAGCTTGGGGGCCGGAGGGTGCCTCCTACTTAAAGGGTCATGGGACTTAGTAAGTAGGGTTATATTCAGGGTAACTATATTTAAGTAGGGTTATAAGTGCCCCAATTGGGGTTTTTAGTAATTATAAATATAATTACTAAAAACCCCAATTGGGGTACTTATAACCCTACTTACTAAGTCCCATGATCCTCCAAGTAAACCTGCCATCCGATACCTAAACCCTGACCCCAGCTACCCTTAATCTGAGATCGCCCAACCTAAACCCCAAACCCCGGAACCTAAGTCCTAATACAGGGGCCTTAATTAGGCTGGTGTTTCGGGTGAGGAAACAGGAGGAGTAATACTCTTTCCTGCTCATCATTCCGACCACTGCTAAGCCCTGATATCATATTCAAGCCCTTGTCAAACCTTAGCCGCATAAACCGTGGCAGGGTGCAAAGCCACCCACCCCTAAACTCAAAGGCCTAACCCCTAAACCGTAAACCCCCTCTGTAAGCTTTCCCCAGTACCTTCGCTCCACTACTCGGTGTTTGCAAAAGTATCAGTTATTCATTCCTGGAAGCCCTGGAATTGGATTGCTTCAGTTTTAATTGTGTGGCTGGCGCGCGTCCCTTCCTGATAACACTCAATGTCAACCATGTTCGAAACTGTTAACACCTAAACCCCACACCTAAACCCTAAGCCCTAAACCCTAAACCCTAAACCCTGTTAGAAGACTGTAAACACGGGGGGGGCCGAGGGAGTTTGCAAGAGCTTCGCGGCCGTGCCCAGGCGATGTGCTGCGGCGGTTTAAGCCCCAGGAGTTTTCGAGCTTCATGCAGTCCATTACGACAGGCGGGCTCAAGGGCTGCTGGGTTCGGAAGCCCTACTTGGAGGATCATGGAACTTAGTAAGTACGGTTGTAAGTACCTTACTCGGAGCCATAAAGTAAATATCAGTATAGAGTTACCTCAATTACAACCCTAGTTACGCAGTCCCCACCGTGCAGTGCCCTGAACCACGCACAGTTTCTCTCCTCAGCTCGGTATGCTGTTGTTCGAGTACGCTGCTAGTATGCAACCATAGCAGCTATGTCAGTCCATCATTATATCTATGCTCCACACCCAACTTCTTTGTTTTCCTAGCCGAATACTCCGAAAATCACAAAAGCCCCTCATAAATGGGTGGTTGGTCAAAACTAGGGCCCCTTTTTGGGTCCTAATATAATACGGCACTTAATATTTGGGGTACCCAAAAAGGGATCCTAAATTTGACAACCACCCAAATCTTAAGCTAAGCTTCTGAGAAGCCTAGGGTTGCGAATTATGGGCGCTCTGAACCTGTGCCCGCCAGATCCCTTGTTGCAGGAGGCGTCCCTCTCCCAGGGCTTTTCGGTCGCTGTGGAGCTCCTGCGCTGAGGCGATGAAGTTTAGGTTTTGGACGTTATGGCTGGTTTCACAGCTCACGGAAGTCGTATGGGTCAGCTGAGGACTTGGCGCATAAGGGGAATTTCTCCCAAGAAGCAGTGCATTCATTCGTGCATGCAAAGATGAGCGTGTAACCCACACAAATATGAATTTCTACACATGTTTACTTATGTATATATTTCCTTACTTACTTACTTGCTTGCTTACTTACTTACTTACTTACTTACTTCAAACGCATTTGGCATTTTGCGCATTCGATTCATTGTGTTTTCGATGTCTATGTTGCTTTACTTCTTTGGTTGCTTCAGTCTGTCTTGACTTGTTCATCTTCTCTCTGTGCCCAAACTTGATCATCCATTTGTTTGTTTATTGGTTTACTATCGCCTGTATGCTTCTTTGTGTATGTGTGCACATATACATATATATATATATAGAGACATACAGACACACACATACACCAGCACTCTATAATAGATGTGCATACATCGCCGGGGACATGCAGTGCCAGTGCCCACATCCATTTCTCTATTTCTATCTATATTTCTACCTAGGTCTATCAGTTTCCCTATGTAGAGTAAATGTGCATGTGTACATATATATATATATATATGTGTGTGTGTGTGTGTGTGTGTCAGAAATACATACATGAATGCAAAGCTCATGCGTGTTCTGGTTGCAGCAGCTACATATCAAGACAAGCCCCGTGTCGGATGATCTTCTTTGGTAGTTCCTTTTGTCAAATCGTTCTTGGCTTTGGTGTACTACCCCTTGTGTATAGAATGTGTTGGATCAGCCTCCCTACAAGTAAGCGGCACAAGACACCCTAAACCCTAAACCCTAAACCCTGACCTTATCCCAAGACTCACTTGCCCTTCAGGCTCGCGAAGAGCATGAAGGCCAAGCACATCCTCAGCACGCTCAAGGCATGCGAAGTGGCTGGGTGTACCTTGTCGCATTCAGATCTCCGACTGCTCACGGTTGAGCCCATCGCCCTGGCTATAGCTGTGACTGCCTTAAAGTTGAGCATCTCGTAGGGGCACTGCACCCGAAGGCTCTTGATTCAAGTAGCCCGACGTGTCATCGCTGTCATCATCAGCTTCACGCCTATCCTGACCATCTCTCCGTCATTGTCATGAGCATGATAATGCGACCAAGCCAAAACCCTACACGCATAATCATACTTCCTACACCGCAACCCTAAACAAGGCCCAAAACCCGAATAAGCCCTCAACACCAATGATTCGATCTTGGTAAACTGTGCCACGCAAGACCCAATCCTGCTCCCCAGGCCCCAAACCAATTACCTAAAGCCTTGACGCCCAAACCCTCAGAGATATGACCCCGAACCCTCAGCACCGGAGCGTTAACCTCAAGCCCGCCCCTCGAGCCTTCCCTACAAAACCCGGAGTTTTGTTTCAAAGCTGATCTGAAACCCAATGCCTAAGCTTTCCTTTATGAAAGTGAATTGACCTGAAACCGAGGCCGGGAGTGCCCCGACCTCGTGCCGCGGCTCTTGGATGTGGCCGTGGAGCCTTCGAGCGAAGTAGAAGAACTTGTGGTGAAGGGTTCTCGGTTAAAAGGCTTCGGCAATAGGGTTCAGGCTTTGGGTTCCAAGGTTTCGGGGTTTAGGGTTTTTGTGGACATGAATGGTACCAACTGTTGGCCCAAAACCCTGCTGGCCCTATTTTCGATTGAGCCTCTCTGAGGCTTACCTGGGATGGTTCTGTGGGCTCACGGTTGGAAGCTAATGTAGCGGCCTTAACAAATAACAGGGCTTGGGGGTATATTATACTATAGTTATAGTGAGGAACCTCCACAAACCCTATTCTGATTATTAAGGTCCTTACATTACAGTGCACAGAAAGAGGCGACCCGTTGTGAGGGTGACCCAACACCTCAACCATGCGAGAGTTTTGGGCTTCAGGTCTTCGTTGGACCTCCACCCTAAACGAAAAACTCATACTACAGGGGCCTTTATCATTACCTGTACTAGTTTGGGGGTCCGTATTATAGGGATAGAGTAGTATACCCGAAAACCCGGTTCTTATTTTTAAGGCCCGTATATTACTCGTAAACTCTAAGCCCTCAGAATTTGGACTTGATAGTGCCTACCGTCTCGGTGACGAGTTGATGGTGATTGGGCCAAGAGAACTGGGGTTCTCGCGGCTTGGGACCCGTAATTTGAGAATGGATTAGTTCGGCTAGATTCATGTTCATGCGATACAGAACAATATGGTGCAGAGTTGCACGCTGCAGAATAGACAGCTTTTCATTAGGTGCAGGTTTCGTAGCCGGAGGTTTCTGATTCCATCACCGAAGATTCGCTATCCCAATGCTTCACGCTACTTGCAGAATGATGCTTAGCCATACGCACCGGTACATAGCTACCCCCTTTCGTCTATCAAGTTTGGGTCTTGCCACTGCTCAGTAACAGTTGGTCTATATTGATAATGCAGACAGACAAGGCCGTGAATAGTCGCCCTATTGTAAACTGTTACCGTATTGGGGCAGTACCCACTAACAAGTTATGCCGCCAACCTCGCCGAAAAATAACCCGCTTCCGAAGCTAGATAGTCTCGAGTGTTATTTCTTACAGCTCCTTATTAAAACTCAAGTATAATATACCCACCAAAGTCTGTTTCAATGAACCCTGAACCCTAAACCCTATACCCCATACCGCCCCCTACAGTCTGTTTCAATGATTCAGTCCCCTATATTAAACCAGCCGACCGTCTCTAGGACCAGATTGGGAACTTTGAGGCCGTCAGGAGAGTTCTTTGGGGCCTTTTAGGGGGATTCATGTGGAAGCTTAGGGTGTGCCCAGGATTTAGGGTCAAGAGCGTGGGGTTTGGGATTTCGGGTTTAGTGTTTAGGGCTTTTGTTGATGTTCGCGGGTTTATGTGGAGGATTTCGGGGTTTTGGCTTTCAGGCAAGGTAACGCAAGTGAATGCTGGTCTTGTGAAGCATACGGGACTCCGCAAGGCTTGATCTTTCGAGTGCCAATGTTTGAAGCAGATGTCTGCCTGCTGTTGTCTCCAGAGACCAGAACTTGGCTAGGTGGGTGTGCGGGTTACGGTTTCAGGACTTGCTAAGTCTTAAGTGTTTGGGCGGCCTCAACTTCGTTTCGGTAAGCGAGTCGGAAGTACTCAGCCCGTTGCCTCGGGGCTCGAGGGCACAGGGCTAAAAGCTTAGGCTCCAAAGGCTGCTACAGTAGGTTGCGCAGCGGCTGGTCGATCCAGTAACGAAGTTGGACCCAACAGCTGCATTCAGCAAACTCACGGTCACAATAAATTTTGAGTTGCAGGGGTGTGAGTAGAAGGGAGTCTCAATCGAACTCGAAACCAGATGTTGGACTAACCGGGGATCCGAACTCTTGGGGTCTTGAAGTCTTGTACCTCTATCCCGGCACTCTGACAGCCAAGGCCCTCACACCGAGCCACCAAAGCGGCAAGCAAGACGAAGCGCCTGCAATGAATCCGAAGCCATAAACCCTAAAGCCTAAACCCTAAACTTTTGGGTTTCGGACGCAAGTGCAGACGGAAAAGGGCCGATAAAAAAAAAAAAAACACACCCTAAACCCTAAAACCCTAAACCCTAAACACACCTGAAGTCCAAAATCCACCTTGGCTCGTACAGCCTCAGGCTCAGAAGCCATCGGGACCCTCCTTGGACCCTCAAACAGGGGTATATCCCAAGTAGAGGGAACAGAGGGTCTAGGCAGAGTTTGGAACCTAGGGGCTTGCATACTCACCGAAAAGGGTAACCAATGTCAGTTCTATAGGGCTCCTAATCGAGCCATGCTGCATTATGCACCAAAACCCTTTCCTAATCATTGTCACAGAACCTGACAGAACCCTTCTACTAACCCTCATAAAGGCCCTTTAACGGGAACCTGGTGCTACTCCTTAAGTCACACCTAAACCCTAAACCTAATCCCTAAACCCCTAAACCCCTAAACCCCTAAACCCCTAAACCCCTAAACCCTAACCCCAAAACCCCTAAACCCCTAAACCCTAAACCCCTAAACCCCTAAACCCCGAAACCCCTAAACCCTAAACCCTAAACCCCTAAACCCCTAAACCCCTAAACCTTAAACCCTACTCCTTAAGACGCTTTTTTTCTTGGTGCTTCAGGCCCACGAGCTGGTTGCAGCGACTTGCACCGCAGCGGAGCTCTGTCCCGAACACCCAGGAATCCCGGGGTTTAGGGTTCAGGGTTTCGGGCTTAGGGTTTAGGGTTCAGGGTTTCGGGTTTAGGCTATAGGGTTCAGGGTTTAAGAGAGTGGGGTTGAGGGTTGTTGAGTGTTGAAGATGGTAGGGTTTAGGGGTTTGGGTTAACAAAAGGTAGGGCCCAAGGTGTAGGGTTTCAGCAAGTAGCGCTTGGGGTTTGGGCGTAAGAACGGGCCTGACAACTTACAGCTTGGCTTCAGGGGGCTTATACTTCTACAGACGTTGATGGGTCCTGTAGTATGGCAGTACAGGTGCTTTAGAAACGTGCTGAGCGCGTTGCGCTATAGTAATGTAAGGTGCGTTAAGAAACAAGTAAGGGCACAGTGGTCAAAGAAACCGGGATCTGGGTTGGTTTATGACCTGCTCTGAATCATGGTTCCTTCTTGGGGTTTATTGGTGAAGTTTAGTACAGGGACATGTAGTCGTAATTGAGGTTCTTACAACTCCGCGTGATTCTACGCCACAAGCGGTCGAGTCAGCACGCCCTAAATAATTCCCAAGCAGGCTCTGTCTCCCCACCCTCCCACCCTCCCACCCTCCCACCCTGCCACCCTGCCACCCACCAGCCCCACTTCGTAGGTGCTGTGGCTACCTCAACTATCACCCCCAGCAATTCCTAACCTTGGAGCCCTACAGCCTGAACTGAACTCGAAGCGGAAGTTAGTCTAAGTTACCATAAACAAAACGACAGCATGATGGTTGATAATCTGCTCTGTTACGCTGGTAACTTCATAATGTAAAAATTCTCGAAAAGAGCTCAGGACCACGTACACCCCTCATATCACCCTGCTGCCAGGATTCTTCAAAGCCTGTGCATCCTGCTTGGTGCCCCTGCTCTCCGAGCTTTCGGTTCCTCGGTCTTTCTTCAGATTATGCTTAGGGTTGAGGGGTTCAGTAAACATAAGAGTAATGAGAATGCTGAGAACTCGAGCGTCTTTTACTGCTACTACTGCTACTGATTATTATTACTGCTGCTGCTGCTGATCTTACTATTCGTAGTACGACTTCTACTCCACCACCGATGCCACTGCCACCACTTGACTTATCCACTTTCCTACCGTACCCCGCCAGTACACACTGCCACTGCCAGTGGACCTTTCACTACGACTACCACGACCACTAGCACCACTACTGCCAGTACTGCTACTACTGCTACCACGACGACGCCGGCGCTGCCGCCACTGCTACTGCCTCTGGTACCACTGACTAGGGTAGGCTTTGGGACATTTCATATTATCCCTTATTGGGCTTAAGAGGATCTTATTTACTAATATTTTTGAAAGCCTTTAAAAACCCCACCTAGCTGAGAAGACAACTAATTATTGAGGTGACTAGTACGACGACTTAGCGATAGTGCCGCCAGGAGTCTTGAGAGGATGCATCTTTTGCTCTGCTGTGTTTTAGCAGTGTATATGGCTTTGGGCTAGGAGCCCAGTGCTCAAAGTTTAGGGTATGGGGTGTGGAATAATCAGCTCAAGGTGCTAAAAGGCTAAGTTCTGGTGTATACACCCTCCGTGATTTGCAGGTGGACAATCTTGCTGACCTCAGCCACACCTTCACCAAGTGCCGAGTGCTTTGCCAGCATTTCTTGACGGGTCTTCGGAGGGCTCACGACCGTTGCGAGGTCGGAGTGCGCAGACTAATGTGTATGGATGTTGCAACTTCTCTGTAGACTAGGTGCTGGCATGTCAAGCTCATCTACGACAACCAACCACAAGCGCATGTGCACGTTTCTGGCTGAAAACTGACAAAAGCACTTCGATATGTCACGGACAGTACAAATGAGGTACCGTGATGTACCTTTTGTATTTTTCGCTCATCGCAGTGCACTCTGTGCATGTTTCTCCTGCCCCAATGTCCCTCAAGTGCTCAACAACTTACCGAATTAGAGGTGCTAATTGGGTTCATTGTGTTTCTCTTCCAACCTGGCGATCTATGGGGGCGATAGAGGCCTCGCATACACCAACTTCGGTACATGAAGGTTATCCAAATATTCGTGGTCGTCTTCCTCCGGAGGTGAGGCATGCCGCTTCAATGGCCAGCCTGAGATTGTTGGGTCCGGTTTTTCTCGCAGCTTTCCGTTCGGTGCGCGAGGGTGTGCGAGGGGGCCCAAGCAGCTCGCTTCAAGCAGCCTTCCTGACGGGGTTTAGGGTGGCTGCCAGACGAAAAACCCTGAAAACACAGACCCAAAATCCTAAATCCTACCGGTCTCATCGGACCGTCAAGTTTCTGCGAAACTAAGGACACCACATCCGCTTCCTGGATCATGTACTACGTGCAACTGGAATCCTGGCCAGTTGATTGGGACACATGCCAAGGTCTTGCAGGTAGGTTGATGACGATGACGACGATGATGATGACGATGATGATGACGATGATGATGATGGTCATGTTGATGAAGGCGCTGTGGCAGAGGCTGCCGTTCAGCCTCATGTTGCTGACAATCGCCCTTGCGTATGTCCTTTTGCCTTTTTGTGACAACTCCGTTTCCTTCCTAGTCGAAGCCTTCTTGAGTTTGGACAAGGAGTCCTGAACACTCTGCAGTAACTTTAAAGGCAAGGTTGCACACTAGATTCGGAGAGGCTTTCTGACGTCGGAGTGGGAGGTCGCGGTTGTTGACCGGATGTTTGTCGAATCATTCACGTGTGTGCCTTAGCAGATGCAGACTCAAAGCAGATCTAATTTGACCTTCGCCGTGAAGCCCTCACCAACTGTCGAGAAGCCAAAGCTCCAGCGCGCCGAAGGAGAGGCGCAGCCGCATCCCGCAGTGCTTCTCGCCGACCAGGCCGTTGGAGAGATTCAGGGCACCTGAACCCCAAGCCCCAAACCCAAGTAAGCCGTCAGCACCGTTCGTCTACTGTGCTTTGGGCTGCTTGCACCTCTGGTTGACTTTTTCATTGCTCGGGATCGGCATTCCCCACTCGGCTCGCGAGCGCTTGAAATGGGCGGAGTGGTACGACTTCAAGAATCGTCCGGCGGTCTGTTTTCTCAAATCCGAAACCTTGTGTTGATCACCACTTCTAGTTTTAAAGCCGTGGTTGGCAGACTGTGGGATTGTGGCTCAGCAGTCACGAACCATTTTTTGGCGACCAAGTCATGACCATACAGCAAACAGGCAGTTGTGGAGGTGGCACCGGTGGTCGTCATCGTGAACTTCGTGGTCGTCGCAGCTGTTCTCCTCTTGGGTCGTAGTTTTGCTCGTCGTCCTCGGGCTGTTCAATGGTGATAATGAAAGGGGGGGCCCGGTTGTCGCCGTCGTCGTGATAGGTTAGAACTGAAAACTGAACGAGTAGCCCCGGCAAAGGTGTATCCTCAGCTGCATCGTTTGCAAAGTGGATGCGCCCGAACGCTAAATTGCCAGTGGTTCTGGCAGCACGTGCAAAAGAGCTATTATCCGAATATCATCGTACCCCGGAGATGATACGAGTATGAATGCCTAAGTGGTCGTGGCAGTACCAGCGCAAGAAGCAGCAGTACATAATTGGTGACAACAGCCATGTTCCAAGAGTCGTTGAAAGAATGGGAACGCATGTAGGCGTAGTCGCATCCTGCAGCCGTCGGAATACCAATAACTGCGCCTCCGAATTGTGTAGGTTCGAAGCTGGGCAAAGGCCCGAATTTAAAAAATCAGCCTGCGCAGCTGCTCAGCTGAAGCCCCTGCTGCACCCTGAAAGCACCCACATCCTGCCCCTTCACAAGCATGAACAACAAGCCCTAAAGTCGAACTTGGAAAAGATTGCGGCAGCGAGGCAGTCCATTTCCACGGCATCCACCACCCCCGACCGCTACTTCGAAGCAGATCAAGCCGCCAATCCTGCTGATGATGATGATCTCTTTTAGTGTCACTGCTACGACCACGAGGGCTACTGCTACTGCTACTGCTAAAGCTACTGCTACTGCTACTGCTGCTGCTACTACTACTAATACGACTACGACTGCGATTACGACTAGACGACTACTACGACTACTACTGCTACTGCTACTAGACTACTACCACCACTACCACTACCACTACCACTACCACTACTACTACTACTACTACTACTACTACGACTACTGCAACTGCAGCTGCTACTGCTACTCCTACTCCTAGTCCTACTCCCACTCCCCTACTGCTACTCCTACTCCTACTCCTATTCCTACTACTACTACGACGACGACTGCTACTACTGCTGCTGCTACTACTACTACTACTACTTCTACTACTACTACTACTACTACTACTACTACTACTACTACTACTACTCCTGCTGCTGCTGCTGCTACTACTACCGCCACCGCTACCGCCACGCCTACTGCTCCTGTCCCTGTTACTGCTGCTACTACTACTACTACTACCACCACTGCTACTGCTACTACCACTACTTCTACTACTAATGCTGTCACGAATCTAGTTATGACCCTTGCCACCATCATCACCACTTGATTTTGTTTATCTCGCTGTTTTCTGCATTTGTTGTTTCTGTCGTTGTGTCCACGGTTGGCACTACTGCTATGCACCCAGGCGAGGGCGCCGACAGTGACGGCTTACCTGTGAGCAGCGACGAGGCCAGACGAATCCATGGCACACAACGTTTGAGTTCTTTGGCTGTCTCGTTGGTTGCAGCTTTCTCTGGGTGCCTGTCTGACAGAGCGTCGATCTTGCTTACGAGCGTCACAAATTGGTACTGTTCTGAACCCAGCACCGCTATTCCGAAGCGATATTCGCGCTGCGATTGTCTTGGCCGGTGTGTGGCGAGGCTGCCTCATGAAGCAGAACCTCCGAGTAGTCCAAGCACCCAGCAGTGTAGAGTGATGGATTAAGGCTTAAGGTTTTCGCGGCTTCCGTGAGCATGTCCGACCAAAGAAGCAATCTTCGGAAGTTGTCCAAAGAGCATTCTCAGAAATCCTTGCCCTTCGCGCCAATTATGTGGAGTCTTTCAATTCCCTTCTTCTGTTTGTGCTGCATTGACCCTACGGGTAGCGAATTTGCTGTTCTTGCACTTGCCGAAGCCCTTGCGACCAGGATGTCCAGTGGCCTGTTCGAGTGACCAACATGAACTGGCCTGCCACTGAGAATCTTTACTTGGAAGGGTCGGGGGACTTAGTAACTGGTTATTTTAGACACTTATAAGTATCGTAACCCCTATTTAGGGTCCCTGTTAGGGTACTTATAAGTCTACTTACTACCTACTAAGTCCCCCGACCCTCCAAGTAAGGGAATCCTGAACTTTTGACCGTTTTGGGTCTGAAGGCTTCCATCCGCATCAGTCTATTTGCTGGCGAAAGCATTTTGACAGTTTTATGTTAACCATATGTTCAACAGGAAACGATTTGCAGGACTTGTTGCATCTGCTTCAACCGGCTTACACAACATATCTCAGTAAACTTTTTGTCAAGAGCAGGATGCCCTCCGGTGCTGTGTATGTGTATATTCTCAATGCTTGGAGTTTAGATGCTCTACACTCGTTTTCTCATCGCAGTGAACGTTTTGTACGATTCTTATGGTTGTTGCAATTTTGTTCAGCACTGCTTCAATCAAATATGTCTTTGTCAGCTCATCCCATCCCTTCTCTGAGTGAGTGTAAAAGCAAGACATGAATCAAACGTATAATGCAAAACCAACACGATTGTAAGTTGTTGATGTTGTAAACCGTTGTTAAGAACTAACCCTAAACCTTATTAAGAACACAACGGATCCAGTTGATATTCAGAGCAGGGTTCAAGTCTGTTCTGATGGTGTGGCTTCCGCTTCTTCCCGGCTTGAACCGGTGTACATAAGAGTTTTTGAAGTTCAGGGGTACCTTATTTTGGGGTCCTTATAAGAAGGATCCTACTATATAGAGTATCATTTTAGAGTCTCCTATTTTCTGAAACTCCCACAATGATGGGATCCCTCTTGTCGCAAGGCAGTATTGGTCGCCCGCTCCCAAACATCCGCTGGTCACAAAACAGTCACGTTGACACATTCATGCATGTATATGCACACATACATAAGTTCTTCTTGTTTAACGACAACTACTATACATGATAGCTGTTTACTTGAACAGAAGCATTACGTAAAACCTGCTTCAATTCGCTTCCGCATTACTGGCGGTTGCCTCTCAACCTTTTTGAGAATCAGCGTGCATCAATACGCATATCATTGCAACCTGCTTTCCTGTCCTGTCGTTTGTGGCCTTGCACCTTTAAGTCTCATAATTTTCTGAATACTGGATTATCTTGTCCTTTTCATCCATTGCCCTAACTTAGCCTTCGTGAAGAACCTTACTTTTCTAGGATCCCGGTTTCGACACCAAAAAGTCCTGTCTTTTTAACAACCTATATCTGAGAAGCTCCCGCACTTCACAATCACCATGTTTATGTTTACCGATCCTCGTCGCCGCCTCACATTCCCCCATACTCCGGTTGCGTGTCGTGTACTTAAAGGGTCATGGGACTTAGTAACTAGGCTTATAATTAGGGTAACTATACTCATAATGACTTGTAGCCCCATTTAAGGTACTTATAACCCTAGTTACTAAGTCCCATGATCCTCCAAGTAGGCCCTAAATCCTAGACCCCTATAGTAGCCCTATAGATCCCTTAAAGGGACCCTTAAACCCTTACTTGCTAAGTCCCGTGATCCTCCAAGTAGTATATGCTACACGACCACCGGGCACCACCATGGCATCGGTCGTGCGGAAGCTTCTCTTGATGAATATACGGGAGCTCCCGAAAATTGGGGGTACTTCATTTTGGGGCCCTTACAATAAGGATCCTACTATTTAGGGTACTGGATTAGGGTCCCCTATTTTCGGAAACTCCCATATAAGCAGCCGAACTAGCTACCAACAGGGTTCCTTGGGATTCCTCATATATGCTTATGCTCTAGTATACGTAGGGTCCTTTTCCTGGGGATTCCTTATTACGGTTATGCTCTAGTATGCCTTATTCCTAGGGTCCTTTAGTCGGCTCTGCTAGTGACTGTGGCAACTTCAGCTTGTCCCAGGGCGCTGCCCAGCGTGGACCCGAGGGTGATCGCTCCGCCAGATGCTGACGCCGGCGCCCCCTGGAAGGCTAGGTCCCTAGAGGGGGGTAAGAGAGGGGCCTTGTATAATAGCTACCAATATGTTTTGGGTTCCTTATTAGACTCATAGGCTAGTATATCCCAAAACCCGATTCTAAGTAATTACTAAGGCTCCTATAGTATGCTCACTCGGCTGGTCGTCCTTCAAGAACAAGTCTTCCGATAAGACTACTACCGCTGCCACCACAGCCACGGCGATGACAACGACGACCAGTCGGATAATTGCCATGGCAGTTGTAGCAGAGACTTTGATGCAATTGTGATACTTACTCACCAGTGTCATCGTCATCTTTTTGGCTGCAGTAATGGCCTTGTCCTAGGATCCTCCACTTCCTGCCCTTCCCAGCCGGGCCTCCGTATCGTCATCATCATGGTCAGAGTCACCGTTGCCATCGCTGCCGACACCCGCATGGCCCATATCTGCCTGAGCCCCATGCACGAACCCCAAGAGAAGACTTTCAGATGAGGTCCTACCGCTTCGCCCG